CAACCACTACTACTTGAGGTGATCTGCAACGGGCGACGCCTCCAGGCACTGGTGGACAGCGGTGCATCCCACACGGTGTGCGACCGCGGGACGTTGGAGAAAATTGGACAATCTTCAGAGAAGACCAAGTTCACGCCAACGATGGTGGACGGTACGAAACTCCCCATCCAAGGCAAAGCATCACTGCAGCTGCACATAGGGGCGCTGAGGTGGAAGCCGACATTCTTGATCACAAACATCAAAGGTTTAGATTTCATCTTGGGGCGAGATTTCCTAAAGCGGTTCAACCCCGAGATCGACTGGGTCGATAGGAAGGCGTGCATCTACAACAACAAGAAGCGAATGGAGCTGAGAAGCTGGACGGATACAGGGAGCGTTCCTGAAATGACACAAGCACGCTTTGAACAGACAGTGAACGAGAGTAACACGGGATACCTAGCACTGGTTATGGCAGCAGCAGAGGAGGAGAAGCCGAGTTCGGAGCTACCTACAGCAGTGAAGCAGGTCTTGGAGCAGTACAAATACATCATGCCCGACGCCCTACCCGCACGCGTACCTCCAGCACGCACCCACAAGCACGAGATCGTGGAGGAACCAGGTGCAAAACCCGTCTCACGGGCACCATACCGACTGAGTTCGACTGAACTGACAGACATGAAGAAACCGATAGAGTATCTACTAGACAGACAACTGATCCGCCCATCCACCTCTCCCTACGGTGCACCAGTTCTCTTCACTCCAAAACCAGACGGTAGTTTACAGATGTGCATCGACTACCGAGCACTGAACAAACAAATACCCCATACCGCTGATAGACAACATACTGGACCAGCTGCGTGGTGCAACAGTCTTTTGGAAGCTGGACCTACGGTCGGGTTGCTGGCAGATCAAGATGGTAGACAACTTTATGAGAAACGAGAATGAATGCATTAAGCAGAAAGGGGAGTCCAAGTAGCAAACCCTAAAGTGTTGTACCCCATATGAACTGCCCCACTACAGCCTACACAAACTATAGCATATATGCCTGACACACCCCCATAGGCAAAGTGGGGGAGAACAAGGGGTCACAAGACTTGTGAAGCAAAGCAAAGCAAGCTCAGGGTGGATCACAACGACACCACACAGTCCGAGCACAAGAGCAAGGCAACAAGGCTAGTTCACATGCAAGATCATATATATAAAGGTAAACAAGCAAGTGCAGGTATAGAAAGAGGACAGTACAAACAAGGTCAAGAAGTGAGCAAGTGAGGCCAAGTAGGCACAAGACCTAGCATAGTACAGAAGTGCTGATGATCACAAGGCGGAACGGCCTTGGTGAAGATATCAGCAGTGTTGGCCTCAGAGGCCACGTAGGTGAGGCGGAGCTGACCACGTTGCTGCAGATCACGAGCCAGGAAGTAGCGGAGAGCAATGTGCTTCCTTCTGTGCTCCACTCTGTGCTCCCAACACAAAGCCAGCATGGCCTTGTTGTCTACGTACAGAACTGGAGGAGAACGAGGCGGCTCTCCTAGGTCAGTCAGCAGGTAGGTGAGCCAGCGTAGCTCCTGTGCAGCCATGGCCCCTGCGTAGATCTCAGCCTGATAGCTAGAGGTGAGAACAGAAGACGAGCGGGTAGACCGCCACAAAATAGAGCCAGAGCCAAGGCTGAAGGTGTAACCCTGTGACGACCGCTGCAGAGCCTGGTCGTCAGCCCAAGAAGCGTCTGCGTGACCTGTGAGGACCACTGAAGGCCGCCCTCCAAGCACAAGCCCCATGCCTGACGTACTGCACACGTAGCGCAACACCCTCTTTGCTGCAGCCATGTGCTCTGGTCGGTGTCTCCAGGAGCAACATAGCGTGCCAAGATGCTAAGAGGGTATGCAAGGTCAGGTCGTGTGCAGATCATCAGGTACATGAGACAGCCAACAACCTCTGGGTACGGGCCACTCGGCTCTACGGACTCATCCGAAGGCAGAGCTGAGAGCGAGTGGCGAGTAGACAGAGGAGTGGCCTGAGGCGAGGAGTACGTGAAGCCGCAGCGCTGAAGGACCTGCTGCACCATGTGTGACTGAGTCAGGGTAATGGTGCGGCGTGCTCTGTCCCGGGTGATTTGCAAGCCAAGGTAGCTGCGCAGTTCACCCAGGTCTGTGCAAGTGTGTCCCTTCTGCAGCTCGGACTTCACGTGGGCGAGTCCAGCAGTGTCCGCAGTGGCAAAGACCAAGTCGTCGACGTACACGAGGATGTAGAACGGCGGCAAAGAGGTGTCGGTGCGCAGAAACAGCGACGGGTCAGCTGTAGAAGGAGCAAACCCAAGAGCCGCAAGTGTAGTCCTCAATGTACCGTGCCACTCACGGGGCACGTGGCGGAGACCGTAGACTGGCCGCCAGAGGCTCCACTGGGTACCAGGAGGAAACGACCCAGTGAAGCCAGGTGGGCGGCGCAGCCAGATCTCCTCGTGCAGACTGCCTTGCAGGAAAGCTGTGCTGAAGTCAAGAGAGTGAAGCTCGTATTCGCGCTGAGCGGCTATGTGCAGCAGCACCCGAAGAGTGGTCATCTTCGGGGTGGGAGAAAAGGTCTTGAAGTGGTTAACTCCCTGCCGCTGACTGAAGCCACGAGCCACGTAACGCGCCTTAAAGACAGGCAGAGAACTCGGCGGCCGCTTCGCCCTGAAAATCCACATGCCACTAACGATGTTTGCCCCAGGTGGGGGAACTTCGTCGGCGTAGGTGCCAGTGGACTTCCAGGAAGCCATCTCTGCGTCCTTGGCCAACTGCCACTGAGAGGAGCAGGGTCCCGCGATCGCCTCAGCGTACGATTGAGGAGTCGGGATGTCTGGTGCATCTGGGTCTCCCTCAGGGGCAATCAGCGTGGACACGAGATGAGGCAAAGCAGCAGCAAAACATTGGAACTCCTCCTGCCTGTCCTCCAGGACGTTTGTGCTAAGAGCACACTCACCCACGACTCAGTCGACAAGCTCAGCAACTAGGGCAGACGCAACAGTGGACTCAAAGGAAGGGTCAGTGATAACAGTAGCCAGGAGACGCGTCACAGAAGGACTAGCAGCACGAAGAGAGTCAGACTCCGGGGCAGCAAGAGTAGGAAGAGAGGACTCTGGAGGAGACGGTAACGGGACAAGCAAGGGAGCAGTGGAAGGACGCAGCGTCATCTGGTGTGTGCCGGGGACCATAGGAAGACGCGGACGCGCAACACGGCCACTAGTGTGAGCAGCACGAACAGGCAACGCAGGACGAGACGCAGGCTCACGACGCTCAGCAAAACCTCCTGTAAGACCAGTGTAGGGAGAAGGAGCAGGTAGAGGGGAGGCGGGGTGTAACTGTGAATGGGACTAGCGAGCTGTGGACACTCTAAGGGAGGAGCAGGACCAGTAGAGGGCAGGAGACCAAGAACCTGCTCCAAGAGCGGAACGAAGTACAGCCTCGGCCACGCAGCGCCTCCAGAACCAGCAAGGGTAGCACTTGTACCCTCAGCAGCAGCACAAGCGCCAGCAGTACCTCCTGCTCCAACAGCGCCAACTCCAGCACCCTCAGAAGCACTAGCACCAGCAATACCGCCAGCGCCAACACCCCCAGCAGCTCTAGCTCCAACAGCTCCAGCTCCAGCAGCCTCAGAAGCACCCCCAGACACACCAGCGCCAACACCCCCAGCAGCTTTAGCTCCAACAGTACTAGCATTGCCAGCAGCTCTAGCAGGACCAACTCCAATAGCCCCTGCAGTACCCCCAGTCCCAGCAGCTCCACGACCGCCAGTATGAGCACCTCCAGGACCAGCAGCAACAGTAGCACCTCCAGCTCCAGCCGCACGTCTCCAGCGGCGAGCAAACCACTCGCGCAGCTCCTGTGGAGAGAACGGCTCCTGCCTCGATGAAGCACCGCCGACGGCCACACGGGCAAACCCAGCGCCCCCAGGCTCCGCACCCCAAGGCTCCGCACCCGCAGACCCAGCACCCCCACGCTCAGCACCCCTAGACTCAGCACCCCCATTCTCAGCAACCCCAAACTCAACACCCCCAGTCTCAGCACCCCCAATCTCAGCACCCCCAGTCTCAGCACCTCCAGACCCGGCACCCGCAGGCTCAGCACCTCTAGCAGCACCAGAGTCGACAGCTACCTTGACAGGCTTGACTGCCTCTACCAGAGACACACCTGACGGGGCAGGACCATGAGGGCGGAGGGGATCTACTGGTGGAGGACCTTTCGCAAGGAAGAACGGCGGCGGGGGGAGGGGCGCAGTGCGGTAAGGGAAGAGACGGTATTAAGGCACCGACTCGTCAAAGGTGACGTCCTGGGAGGACAGAACACGGCGCGAGGTGGGGTGGTAAAACTGCCACCTATGCGCGTTAGGGGGGAAGCCAAGGAAGACGCAGAGAACAGCATGGGGGGACAGCTTGTCCGCAGACAAGTCGTAGACAAACGCCCGAGATCCCCAGACCCGAAATGCAGACGCATCGCCAACCTTCCCCATCCACCGTAAGGCGGGGGAGGTCTCTGGCAAGGAGACCCGGGGCTGAAGGTTGAGTTGATGCGCGGCGTACTGAACTGCAAACGGCTACAGAAAATGGGGGGCAGCCGCATGCATCATGGACGTATGAGCGACGTCCATGACCATGCCAATGCGGCGCTCACCAATCCCATTTTGCTGTGGAGAGGCCGGAAGCATGAAGGTCTGGCGGATGCCCTGTGCACGACAGAAGGCTCCCAGGCGGGCAGAGGAAAACTCCCCGCCTCTGTCAAAGTGCAGACGCAGAACAGGAAAGTCCAAGCCGAAACTCTCTCTGAGCTGGAGACGAGCTGCGCGGATCCAGTCAATCAACACCTCAGTAACGTCACCCTTGCTAAGCAAGGGTAAGACTGTGGTGTAACGCGAGTAGTCGTCAACCACCAGCAAGAATTACCACTCGTGCCTCTGCCCACGGACGCGGGCGGGGCCCCTCACGTCCATGTGGAGGGTCTGTAGCGGAGCCTCTGTCGGAGGAAACTCGGAGAAGTGAGGGCGGCACGCTGTCAACACGAGCAAGGAGCAGACCTAGGACTAGACGTGGACGCTGCAGCAAACACCTGACTTGATGCAGCTACCTGGGCAGACTCAGCAGCCGCAGGAGACTCAGTAGTAAGGGTGTACTGGCTCGACCCTGGCCGACGGGTGAACGTGGCCAAGTGTCGGCCTGTACGAGCACACGTGCTGTGGGTCACTCGCTGACTCGCAGGAGTGAACTGGTCAACCCCCCTATCCTGTAGGTCCGCTCCACTCACCAAATTCGTAGAGAACGAGGGGAGGTAGAGACCTAACACGGTGCGAGAGAGGGCTGCGGGGCACGGTAAGACAATGGAGAAGCTAGCAAGCACAGGACCCCCAGAGGGGTCTGCAAGGGAGACTGCAACCGGCCGACTGAGCGGCGTAAGAGTGGTGCGGTCTCCAAAAGAAGGAGCGGGACGCACCCGAGTCAAGGGTGAAGGTGTGTAAGGCCTGAGCCGACGTAGTACCTGAGAGAGCAGACTCACCAGCACCTGGGGCAGCAGACGCACTAGCACTTGGGGCAGCAGACGCACTAGCACCTAGAGCAGCAGCCTCACCAACACCTAGAGCAGTAGCCTCAACAGCACCTAGAGCAGTGGCCTCAATGCCTGGGTCAGGCGGTACACACAGGTAATAGTCACCCTCAACACTAGAAGACACAGAATACATGGCAGCAAGGATAGCATCATAGTCAAGATCAAAGATGGCAACCCCCGCCCAAGACAGATCTCCCTAGCAAGGGATCTCTCACGCCTTAGGGAACTGGCAACGCCACACGTCTGTCAGGCGGCCGAAGCAGCGCTGGGTGTAGTGCGGGCCCCTGGACTGCTCACCAGCTCGGTCGCCGGTACGGAGGACGTAAGTGCAGGGACCAGTACCCGCACCGTGCTGACGCGCAGCGTACCAGCCACGAAGCTGCTGAGGGGACAGGGACACACCTCTCCGCTGCTGCTGGCGCGGACCACCACTTGAGCCACTCCTCTGCGAAGAGTCGCGACCCGCTCCACCATCGCAACCGCCGCCGCCACCGCCTCCGCCGCCTCCTCTGCCACCTCCGCCGCCTCCGCTCCCTCCGCCACCACCGCCGCCTCCTCCGCCTCCACTACTGCCGCCGCCGCCGCCACCCCCGCCACCACTCCCACCACCACCCCCACCCCCTCCACTGCCTCCACCACCACCTCCACCGCCCCCGCCAGCCCCTCCAGCGCCCTTGCCCCCCTTGCCCTTGCCGGTGCGGCGTCTCCCGCTAGGGGCAGACGCAACGCCTACCGACTCGAAACCAACGAGGTCGGCCGCAGCAGCAGAAGCAACAGAGGGCAAGAGGGGGGAGGGGGAACACCCCTCAAAGACGGAGGTGCAAGGGTCACCACGAGAGGCTCCTACAGTGACTATGCTCTTCTTTGCTGCTAGGAGGTCCTTCTCAAGGAGGTCAACGGTGAGAGTGGTGGGGCAAACTGAGAGGAAGTGGTCCCTGACTATGCGGAGAGAGTCAGGGAGCCGGGTGACTATGTAGTAGAGGGTGATGTACATGGGGGGGGGGGTTGGGTTCTTGGCGTATAACTCAGCAGGAAGCGCAGCGCGGTAGCGAGTGTCACTAGTGCGGAGGTGCGTAATGAGGTCAGCGATAGTGGGAAAGGCAGCAAGGTCAGGGATGAGGTACGGTAGCATAAGGCGGCTCAGTGCAGCAGTGGCAGGGGAAGAGTAGCGTGCAACTACAGCGTCGTACAAGGTCTGAGCACTCTTGTACTGGCTAAAGTGTGCACGCTCAATGGTGGGTAAGTGGCGGCGCACAGCAAGGCGAGCAGCAGCATCGCGTGTGGCCCACTGTGAGCGAACAGTGCTGTTAGTAGTAGCAGGCGGGGCAGGAGAGACACCAGAGGTGAGATCGAGCAGAGAGAGTCCGTCTGCCCTATCGCACTAGAGAAACAGCTGGTGGTCATCGACCCAGACCTCAGAGTCAACGGCACGGCCCTCAGCATCAAAAGTTAGGACACTGGGGGTAGGCATGAGTGCAGTGGCCTAGTAGGGAGTGAGCTCAACAGTCCGAGGAAGGAGGGCCGGGGAGCACCGGTAGGAACAGTAGCGGCTCGATAGTAGGGCGGCTTGGCGGCTCGGCGGCTCGGCTGCTGGGCGGCTCGGCTACTGGGCGGCTCGGCGGCATTGCGGCTCGGCTGCTGGGCGGCTCGGCGGCAGGGCGGCTCGGCTGATGGGCGGCTCAGCTGCTCGGCGGCTTGGCTGCTGGGCGTCTCGGCTCCTGGGCGGCTTGGCTGCTCGGCAGGTGGGCGGCTCGGCTGCTGGGCTGCTCGGCGGCTCGGTCGTTGGGCGGCTGAGCGGTGACAGCGTCGCTAGGGGAGGGCGACGGGGCCGCAGGTGACGGCGACGGGGCCGTAGGTGGCGGCGACGGGGCCGCAGGTGGCGGCGACGGGGCCGCAAGTGCTGGCGGGGCCGCAGGTGGCAGCTGCGTGGCCGCAGGTGGTGGCGACGGGGCCGCAGGTGGTGGCGACGGGGCCGCCGGTGGCGGCGACGGGGCCGCAGGTGGCGGCAGCGTGGCCAAAGGTGGCGGCGACGGGGCTGCAGGTGGTTGCGACGGGGCCGCAGGTGGCGGCGACTAGGCCGCAGGTGGCGGCGACGGGGCCGCAAGGGGCCTAGACGGGGCCGCGGAGGGGCCGTAAGGGGCTTAGACGGGGCCGTAGAGGGGTCGTAAGGGGCCTAGACGGGGCCGAAGAGGGGCCGCAAGAGGCCTAAACAGGGCGGCAACGGGGCCGTAAGGGGGCGGAGAGGGCGCCGCGAGGGGCCGAAAGGGGCCGCGCGAGGGGTGTAAGGGCAACGCGAGGGGCCTTAAGGGGTCGTAAGGGGCCATAAGGGCGGCGCGAGGGGCCGTAGAGGGCGGCGCGAGGGGCCGTAAGGGCGGCGCGAGGGGCCGTAAGGGCGGCGCGAGGGGCCGTAAGGGCGGCCAAAGGGTCCGTGAGAGGGGCCACTAAGGGCGGCTCGAAGGTAGGGAGGGCACACAGAGCGCGACTCGGGCAGGAGTGAAGAGCGCTCCGGGCAGGAAAAAAAAAAGTATCGTCATGGGCCCTAGGTAGCGTTCCTACTAGGGAACCTGCTCGATACCATGATGAGAAACGAGAATGAATGCATTGAGCAGAAAGGGGAGTACAAGTAGCAAAGCCTAAAGTGTTGTACCCCATATAAACGGCCCCACTACAGCCTTCACAGACTATAGCATATTTGCGTGACACAACTCGGTCCACAAGACAGCGTTCCGTACCAGATACGGCTCCTACGAATACTTGGTGATGCCGTTCGGACTGTGCAACGCACCAGCAACGTTTCAGTTGGAAATGAATCAAATCTTACGACCCCTGCTAGACGAGTGCGTAGTGGTGTACCTGGACGACATTCTTATCTACTCCAAGAACATGAAGGAGCACGTGGAGCATCCGCGGAAGGTCTTCGAGATCCTGTGGAAGAACAAGTTCTACGTGAAGCTGTCGAAGAGCGACTTCACCCTGAAGAAGGTGCAGTTTCTCGGGCACATGGTGAGTGCCGAGGGCGTACATGTGGACACGCGGAAAATCAAGGCCTTTAAGAAGTGGAAAGTACAGGAGAACATGAAGGAGTTGCAGCAGTTCCGAGGCTTCGCCAACTACTACAACAGGTTTGTGCCGTAGTACGCTAAGATAGAAGCGCCACTGAGCGACCTACTGAAAAAGGATACGCCCTACAAATGGGATACTCCACATCAGCAAGCCATGGAGTAGCTATAGACAACACTGACTACAGCGCCAGTACTCATCCTACTAGATCCAGACAAGGAATACGTGGTGGAAGCAGACGCTAGTGACCAAGCAGTCGGAGCAGTACTAATGCAGGATCACTGACGCGGTTTGCAGCTTATCGCCTACCTCAGTAAGAAGCTACACGGAGCAAAACTGAATTACCCCATCTATGACAAGGAAGCCTTAGCGATAGTCATAGCCTTCAAGGCGTGGAGGTGTTACCTAGAAGGAGACAAGACTACAGTCTATACTTACCACTACAGTCTCAAATACCTGAAGTTACAGCCGACGCTCTCTCGACGACAGGTGCGGTGGGTGGACTTCTTGGAAACTCACTTCCACTACGACATCGTCTACAAGCCCGGGCTACATAACAAGGCAGCCGCGTTGAGCCGCCCCAGACATGTAGCAGGCATCCAGCTCGACGGGATGAACCCTCTGCTCAAGGGTCTATTCCAACATGGGTACTCTGTGGACGCAGAGATCGCTACAGCACTGACCAAGAAGCTGTTACAGTGGGAGAAAGACTTAGCTGTAAGGAAGGGTTTAGGAAATATTTGGGTACCGAATTACGCCCCGCTACGGCAGATCCTATTGGAGGAGTTTCACGACGTACCATACGCGGGACATTTCGAGAGCAACAAGACGTTAGCAGAGATAGCAAAGTATTACTACTGACCCGTGATGGCAGCAGACGTGCAGCAAGTCGTCACCTCTTGCGACACGTGCCAGCAGATGAAGAGTAGCAAGCAGAAAAAAGCAGGGTTACTTCAGCCTCTACCCGTACCGGAGCAGCCATGGCAGGTCGTTAGCCTCGACTTCATCACGGGACTTCCTTCAACCTCACGAGGGCATGATTCTATCCTCGTAGTGATCGATAAGTTCTCCGAAATGGGTCATTTCATCCCGACCAACGCCACAGCTACAGCTGAAGCCACTGCTCGCCTCTTCTTCGACTGCATCATCACCATCCACGGCATCCCCGCTACACTCATCTCAGACAGAGACCCCAAATTCACCAGTAAGTTCTGGAAGGAGCTCATGGGATTATTGGGGACCAAACTTGCGATGTCCTCAGCATACCACCCACAGACTGACGGACAGACCGAGCGACTCAATCAGGTGGTTGAACAGTTACTGTGCAAAGCTTGCAAAGACGACGTCAGCCACTTGGACACACAGTTACCAACCCTAGAGTTCGCTTACAACAACGAATCACATGCGGCCACAAGGAAAACTCCTTTCTTCCTATGTTATGGACGGGAACCACTCACACCACAACAACCAACGACACCAGCACATGTCCAAGCCGCACATGACTTTGTCACCAACATGGAGCAGCTATAGGAGAAGACTCAGCGACAACTCACCACGATGCAGAACTCCCAGAAGCAGTATGCCGATTGTCAACGACTAGATCATTCAGTAGCAGTCATAGATCAGGGGCTTCTTGACACGCGCAACTTGAACCTGTCTCACCTTCCATTCAAACTCCGGCCTCACTTCTATGGTCCTGTTCTCGTTGAGGCACATGTGACACCAGTTACATTCCGCTTGCGCTTACCAGATACGTGGAAGCTTCACAATGCTTTCCATGTTCAGCTACTGAAACCCTACAAGGACCCCAACCAACGGTTCCAGGGACGGCAGCTACCGCCACCACCACCTGTTCTCATACAGGATGAACCCGAGTACGACGTGGAGCGCGTTCTCACTCATCGACGCCGTGGCGGCAAGACCCTCGAGTTCCTGGTACGCTGGAAGGGATACGGCCCCACTGAGGACAGTTGGGTTGCAGAAGCTGATATGGGCAACGTACGCCGTGCTCTCAAGGACTATCTTGTCAAGCAGGGTGTATCTCACGCCACCCAGCTTTGAGGGGGGGACGTGTGAGAGTACGACGGCTTATGCCAGCTATGCTTAATTGCCTTTACTTTATCATGCTATTTCTAGCATAGGATAATTTTATGCATGCATGAATTGCTTGCTTTCCTAGGCTAGGTGCTTTCCAAAATTATATTATAGTTATAGCACCGAGCTAGGTTCCGTGCACCGAATTCTAGGCTTTTCAGTTGCCACCGAATTGCCTTCTACCGAATTCGGGAAGGGTCTGTTCGGGACGCTTCGCGACTCGCGGAACATTCGCGTAACACCTGGGTACTAGGCCTTGTGTCGAGCCTTCGTGTTGTACCCAGGTGATCATTTAAGTCAAACTCTCTTTTCTGAGCTCAATCCTAGATCCTCACAAGCAAGGCGTGGCAGAAAGAATGAGCAATACCCTCCAGAACACCATGCGCAAACTGCTACGTGGCATGCGGCTACCCATCCACCAGTGACCTGAGGCGATGGACCATGCTGTCATGCTGCACAACTTGCTTTCGTCATCATCGCTCCCAAACAATGCATCACCGCATCTGCTGTGGACAGGAAAATTGGGCAACACAAAAAGGTTACGAGTGTTCGGCTACATAGTACAGTACCGACCCCCAGCTCCACGAGCAGGTCGCTTCTCCCAACGCGCACAGTGGGGACTACACCTGGGCATCGAAAAACACTACAACGCATGGAAGATCTTCGACGTCCACACAAAGGAACCAGTAGCAGCACGTGAAGTGATCTTCTACGAGCGTCTCACTCTTCCGACGTACTTGTACAACTTGGAAACCTCACGGGATGTCACAGGCAGATTTCGTGGGGACCAAGCCTTAGCTTCGGCAGCAAATGAAGCTGACTGGGACGAGCAGAACGTGGACAGAGCTTTGGAAGAAGCCGGACCTCTTCCCTACTGTTCGGTGGATGTCCCAATGGACGACGACAACCCTCGCAAAAGCATCAATGCCGAAGTCTTCTACGACCTCGCAGACAACGGTTACGTTACACCCGCACAAGTCAACACCAACGAAGCAGAACGCATATGGCCCAATTTCTTACCTGATCCAAAAGCACGACACGAAGCAGCTTATCTCCAGGACGCAAATATTCCCCGCTACATATAGAGTGGGCTGCAAATACTGGTACTCGTCACCGCCGTCCATGGAGCAGCGCCACCTAAGGAGTCTGCAACAGTTCAGTAGGCTCTGGGGGGGGAGCACAGGGAAACATGGCGCAAAGCCATGGACAAAGAGTTAAAGGCGCTAGAAGAACGCAACACCTGGAAGGTCGTATCTATCGGGGTGGCACGGAACAAGACCATTATCCGCGGAAAATGGGTTTTTTGTGTGAAAACAAAGGCAGATAGAACCATCGACAAATTCAAGGCGTGCTAGGTCGTACGTGGCTTTGACCAAGAGCACGAACGAGACTTCTCCAAAACATTCGAACCTGTCAGTCGGCACACCTCACTGCAGATTCTCCTCGCGATAGCCGCCATGAAGCGGAAGAA